TAAGTGTAATTAGATTTACGTTTCTTTTTTAAAATAATATAATTATAGAATAAATAATATTATAAATATATAATTATAGAATATTTAAAAAATCAATTTTAGATTCCATAACATAAAAGTTGATATACGAAAATGTTGATTAGGATTTATTTATTTATTAAATTATATAATTGATGTTTGTATTTGTCAAAAGGAGATATGAAGAGAGTAAAACCTCTCTATCTGTGTCTTATTCTATTTTTTCTTCATTTAACGCGAACTTAAATTATTTCCAATTAATAAATAAATTTTAATTAAGATTTTTGTAGATCAACTTTTTTATCTATTTTGAATTCTAAAATATTGAATTTCCAAAAGTATATTATATAAATCTATTTAACATTTTGTTGATCAAGATATGATTTCTTGTTATTAATGATTTTTCTAAATAATACTTTCCAAATATAATGCTGTTAAGTAAATGATAACTTCTATGATCACTTCTTTATTGATCACTGATCATTTATATTTTATTTATTTGTGAAAGTATTTAAGAAAAAAATCTTTCATAAAAATCAGTAATTTATATGACAATTCTTTTTTAGACTTCAAAATATAGTTGAGTAATTTTCGAATAATGAAAAATCATTATAGTTCATATTTATTTTTGTGTATAAGATTTTAAAAATATCAATGCCATGTTTAATGTTTAATGTTTCATAAAAATCTTAAGAATTTATTGGTCTATACAAATTTGCATTCTACTCTAAATTTGGACGATATTTTAGGATATTTTATGTATGATCTTTCTCTCTCTTTCTCTTCCTCTCAGCATGATATAATATCAGCTTCTATATTCCGTCAAATTTGTTAGTTTATGTTTCAAATGCTTTTCATGAATTTTTTGTCTAACCTGTGGTTTTCATCACATCGATACTTGATAGTTTGTAGTTAATAAATAACACATATTTATTACATATAATGAAACATTTGGGTAGTATAAATATATTATAATATCAATTTTATATTAAAATATTCATTCTATGGAGAAAAATAAAAAAAGTAAATTGAATAAAATCGAAATTAAAGATAAACTATCAATTTTCTTTGCTTCGAAACAAATTAATTATTCATAATTGTGCTATTTTTGCAATAGAAAAGAGAGTGAAAATGAAGATAAATTTGAAAAAAAATGCATCAATAGAGAAAAAAAGAAAAAGAAAAAATCGAAACGAAAAGTTTATTCGTGATATTAGTGGTGCGTGATGATGTGATTAGCAAGAACATTTGTTTGTTTATCGTTACGAAAGGAGGGACCGCCAGTGGCGACGGATATGCAGGCTACGCTATTAAACTATGGCGGGCAGCATGAATTTGGTCGATGCAGCGTTGCCTCGCAAAGAAGCCTCGAGGAAGATGAATGTGATTCAAGCGAAGAACTTATAGGAAATACTTCTGGTGGGGGCCAGTTCGAGTCGCAGACTGTGGGACTCCAACCAAAACTGGCCCCGATCAGTGGTATCTCTATGGAGCCTACCACTGTTTTCAGACTTCACTTTCTCGGATCAGTTGAAATTGAAGAGGAAGGGAGACGTAAGCGCCTTAACAACCACATAGTGCGGGAGGCTGTGACTAAGATCAAGGTCCGCCCTCCAACCCTTAGATGTATCATATTTTATTCTATAATCGTTATTATGTTCGACTTATTTTAAAAATTACTTTTTGTTCATCGTTTCTCTCTGCATCATCTTCGCTTTTTTTCATTGACAACGAGTATTCAAAACTTTATAAATTATTTTTCGAATTTTTTAGATTTAATTATTGATTTAATTTTTAATAAATAAATCTTTAATATAAAGTAATAATTCAATATTAATTAGAAAATATTAAATAAAAATTATTTTTAAGTAGTTAGTATTTTTCCAAATGTTTCGTAATGAATTTTATAGTCAATAAGAAAAAATAATAAATTAAAATTAATATAAAATCTTTGAAAATCTTAATTACATGTAATAGATTTTAACCTAAATATTAAAATATTTGTGATATCATTTATCAGATATTGATTATTTATTTTGTTTAAAAACTTTGTTGATTATTGTGTTTGTTTGAAATTATATTTTTAACATATCTATTTCTAACATGTTTTTAAAAATTAATTATAATTTCTTACATTTTTCAAGAAATAAAAAGAAATTAAAACTTTTAATCTTTAAAGTAGATAAATAATACAAATTTATTAATTGAAATAAAATTTTAAAAAATTATTAAAAATGTTATATTGAAATTTTCATGATAAAATAACATCATTAATTATTTTTTATTTGATGATTATCCTATAAATTCATATATTCTATCAATCAAAATTTTGCATTTTTCTATGAAAAGAAATGTTCCAATAGAGTCAATTCATAAATCGTGCATAATTGCCGAAAAAAGTATTACGAGTATAGAATCTAATATCATACTCTAGAGAATAATTGAGCAATTAATTAACAAAAAATTAACGAAATTTCACGATACTATCTAAAATTTCGTGCATAATATTAAGTGCATAGTATTTATTATCAAACAAATAATATCATTAAATTCCATTAATTTATTTTTTCTTTACTATTCCTAATATATAAATTATGATTATCAAATTCTATCATCTATTATGTTTATAACAACCCTACTATATACAATACTATATACAATAATATTCTTTCTCAAAGCATGCGAAATAAAATATTCGGTGTTAACGTAGAAAAATAGGAGAATCAGGCAAAGTAAAAGAATAATGAAACATGACAAGAAACTGCGAAACAATTTATTTGATGAGATCATATACAAAATAATATTTCTTTCTCATCTTATTATTATTATAGGTAAATATATTATATTTATATTTATAATATATTATATTTTATTCTATATTATATTTATAGAATATAATATTAAATATAATGTTATATTTATAATATATAATATTTATATTAATATATTATATTTATATTACTGACCAGGTAATAAAGAATGTGACCAGACTTTCGATTCATCACGTGATACGTAATATATCCACCTGATCTATTAATGACAGCAAATGCATTATAACGTAACATATTTTTCTCTTGCAGAATTTGCTATAAAGCAAATGAACCATTTTTAATGATAGAATAGATAATACATATAGATACTATCTCCATTCAACAATTTTATTATTATATAAATTTTATCCCATTCGCTGACAATTGTGCGAACAATATTGATATGCATCAAAAATGACTCAATAGTTCTATTAATCAATATAGTTAGTCAATTTTACTTAAAAAATTTTTATTACTTAATACTTAAATATAAAGAAGAATAATGATCTTTTATTTTTTTAATCATTATGCATATAAAGTATTATATTTTGTCAAATATTAAGAATTATTACGAATTATTATAGGAATTATTATATATTCGATTCTTAAAATTCTGTAAAATAATATTTTTATGTTTTAAAGAAAATGGTTTTTTTTTCATTATGAAAATTTTGATTTTTTTTTTAAATATACTTTTTTTTTTAAATAAATTCTATATTCTAAAGTATTTATATTTATATTATATATTTTTCACAATTATTAATATTTAAAAGTTATTTATAAATATATATTAATATCATATATTAATATCAATATATTAAACATTAACTGATTAACTGACTCTTAACATTTTTTTTAACTTTATTATATTCTAATAATTCTAAATATTTATGTTCATAAAAAAGAAGTGTCCACCTTCTTAGAGCAATTTTTTATTACGAGAAAATGATGGTTACATTTTTACATACGCATTCAAATGCATCAAAAAGCAAAAGAAAAATAAACGAAAAGAAGAAACAATTCAGAAGCAAAAAAACATTCTAAAAAATAGCTTCTTTTTACAATATATTTATTATTTATTATATTATAATATTGATAACTGCAAATATTCTAATGGATCGATATATTCTATTAGCTTAAAGACTACAATGATGATCGAATACATATTATAATTATATATTATAATTTTTTATTTCCATGTGTCTTTTTTAAATCAATTATTATTTTATGTTATATTTATTTTATTATTATATAATATTGTATAATAATATAATTTATTAAATATAAATATACATTTTTTATTATAAATATAAATAAGTATATAAGTATATTTATATACTTTAATATTTATTATTATATATGATATTAATTATTTATTATTATATATTAATATTATCATATTTTATAAAAAAAACATGATAATATGAAAACATGATAATATGAAAATGTTTTTAATTTCGATTAGTTTAATCGATTAATTAGAATACTGTTTGATTTTAATTGTGAAAAATTTTTAATATTAATTTTATATTAT